AGGAAAAAAAAAAAAAGAAAGGAATCAAAGACAGCCTTACTGCTTGCAGGTTTAGGCCTGACTTGGATTGTGGCCACAATGTGAAGGATGGAGAGGAACAGTTACTACTGTAGGCAGAGAGAGGTTGTTCCAAAATGGATCCCGAAAGGGGATCTTTTGCTTTTTAGATGTTACAACATTACAGCAACTTTTTTAGTGATATTTGAGTTATTTTTGTAAGGGAGGAAAAACATTTACATTTTTGCAAGCGGAAAAATGTAATGAAAATCAACAGTGGACCTCCACAGGTCCTTCCAGCCAGCACATTCATGAGTCTATGGCCAGGCAAATTGAGTCACAAAGGCTGAACTTCCCATGTTCTTGGAGGGGGAAAGGTACAGCTGGGGGCATAGTTCCTGTTCTCAGATCACTCACTTTCACAGCGGGGCATGGATTGATGCCATGTCCCATCAGCCTGGCAGACAGCCGTGAAGGACAGCAGCTTTTGATTGCCCTGCATGGGAGAGAAAAACATCTCTGTTGATTGTGAAGAGCCTTAAATTCCCTTCCCCACATTAAAATATGATTCTATCTGCCCATCTTTTCACTGCTGTCCAATAGTTGCTCCTCTGCAGTCTGTTCCAGTTGCTGTCCTCTCCCTTTGCTGCCTTCCCTCCATCCTGTGTTTGCCACAGGCTACAAATTCTTCATAGCAGGCCAAGATATCAGCAGCCAGCAACCATAAAACCGTGACGAGTCTGGGTCGTTACCCAGCCCTGGCAATAAGTTGGCAAGGGGGGCAGGTAACATCCTCTGCTTCTGAGCTCCTACCCTTCCAAAGAGATATTCTTGTTTACCGATGTTTCCTGGGATCTTTGCCTCTCATCTTCTACCAGGGCTTCGTGAAGCAGTAACTGCGTAAGGAAGGTGGCTAGGAAAGGAGAGACGACTGGAAGAAAGCTGACAGAAGCAAGGAAGAAACAGAAATTGCAAGAGGTTGCCACGAGTGCAATCTCCAGAGAAAGTTTTACTGAAAGGTGAAGGACTTACACAAACTGAAGAGAAGCCAGAATACAGCTGAAGGGAGTGGATAAGGGATCTCACCTCCACCAGATTATACCCAGTCTGGCACGTGACAATGAAATAGTCCTGAAATTGATACACACGCTGCAGGTCTCTGATGATGGTAAACCTATCCCGTGGGACAGGCTGCGGGCACCGTATTTCTGTCAGAGAACGGGACAAAGTAAGCTGGTATTAAGAAATGGTGCAGACAGGCTGCAGTAGCCTCTGGGGAACAAACGTCTTACTCTCCGAGGTGTAGCGGATCTTCCAGCCACGGCTGAACCCTGACTCATCAGTGAGGAAGAGTATGTCCACCTCATTGCTGTTGGTTTCAATGCTGCCAGGTGACTGCTTGCCACAGAATTCACCGATCTCTCTCCCTCGTACTTGGATCTGATGAGGAAAACATGCATCACCGGGACAGAAACACGCATGCCTGTCTGCCCCAGTATTCCCATTTCAACTTGGACCAAGTTTGCCACAGTGCCTACGATGGTGAACGGGGCTGGTTGTCTGACCCATCTTTGCCGATGTCTGCACAGACAGATCAGAGCAAAGCACTGACCGACCACAAGCTCTGCTTCTCCCTTATCACAGGAATCAGAGCCATCAACCCCTTCAAATCCTGAGATTAAATCAAAGGGAGATAAAACTGGATGAAGGATCATTTTTTTGGCTACACTCACAGGGGCCTGTGACCCAGAGCTTCTGACCTCAGGACAACGGTAGTTGAGCGCACTGAGGGAGGGACAACGGAAGAGCTCAGTCCTTCACGCTGGGGCATTCTCCTTGTACTGATCCCATATTTCTCATGTGAACAGTGGTGTCCCCACAGTTCGTGTCCAGGTCTGGCAGCAGGGTTGGAAGCAGTTAGTTAATCTCCAGTACCTTGAGCTGGTCATAAGGACAGTGGACTTGCTGGTGGTCATCAATCTCAAACGGTTCCAAGAACTTGAGGATGACAGACAGCCCCTTTTGCAGACGGATGCTGTAGTTACACCGGAGGTCTTCAGGATAGGGATGGGGATACTCAGGGCTGCTCAGGTACCCAGATGCCTCTGTGAACAACTCACTGCTGCACTCCACTGGTGTAGAGGAAGAAAGCAGAGGTCACATTGCGCAGCTGTGTCTTCTGCAGCCCCGTCAAGTGCTCCCTAAATCACTTCTCCCACCCTTCCCGGTCGAAGGCCTCCTTCCCTGGAACCCTCTGATCTTTCAAAATTTCAGTTTACCTTTGCAAGAGTGGTGGTCACTCTGAAGCTGGTAGCCAGTCCGGCAAGAACAGAAGTAGCCACCCACGTAGTTGTGGCAGAAGTGCTGGCACTGAGGCCTTTCATCTTCCTCAGCAGCTCCATTAGGGTCACATTCATCAAGATCTGAAGACACAGGAGATGCAGGGACAAGGGAAGAAAAGTGTTAAACTTCTCTACTGTACGTTGGAAGTACATGGAGATTCATATCCTTGCATGCAGCTTCTCTTTATTTCCCTAACAAAGAGGCAAATTGGTTGGAGACACACAGGCTTCTTTCTGTGTGCTAAGGGTGCTGCCTACTCACCCACAGCTTGGTAATAGGCCAGGAAGCCCCTGTAGGGAATCACCGTGCCATTGTCTTCATTGGAGAAATCGGAGTGAAACGCCAGACGCATCCTGTTCCCCTCAGATACAAACTCCTTTCTTCCTGGGTGATTGCCTGTGGTTGACCCAAGCTGGCCACAGTATCGGCCCAAGTTCTTCTTGTCTGCTTTGACCTGTCAACGTTAAGGGGAAATCCCTGTAGCCTCATAAGATTCAGTCTGCTGCATGCATCGCTATTACCCAGCCACCAGCTGCCAGCACCTGCTCCACCTGTTTCCATCTTTAACTCCTTCCCTTTGTGGGAGGCATGAGAGGAGGCCCAGCGAATGAACAGCCACCACAGGGGGTGGCCACTAGATTCCCATCTCCAGCCACCCCCTTGGCCCAGGTATCTATGTACATACCTTAACATAGTCGTAGAAGCAGGATTCAGATGGCTCTAGGTCAAAATGTCTGAAGGTCAGCTTCACCACATAGCCTTCTGGGACGTGGATATCCCAGGTGCTGACGTTATTGTTGGGATATGGCTTGGGATAACCGGGGGATCTGATCTCCCCAAAAAGCTTTCTTGGGACCAGACTGGAACTGATCACTCCAAAAAAGGGAAAGGCCCACAGGAGTAAAGGAATGTGCCTGTGAACATGGCAAGTAAACGATGACATTGCACACAATCAGGTCATCCAAAATCAGGGGAGACTTCACAGGTGACTTGTGCACTGTCTAATGGAATCCAAACACGGGACGCCTGGTTGCGGGTCCAGCTTCCGGCTTGGATTGCTCGGGAACGAGGAGGACAGCTGAACCGAAGACACCAGCGCTGCCCAGGTCCCAGCAAGGCGCTGTGACCCAGCCAAGGAGACTCGCCAACCCGGGAAGCGGCCTGAAGGGACACGGGTGACTTCTCTGAGCCGCGCCCGCCCGTTCCCAGCAGGGATGGGGCTGGGGCCCTCGGAACCGGGGGCAGTCTCGTTCCCCCTGGCCCGGGGCCAGCGGGTCACGTCTGCTCACTGCTGCTTCAGGACCTTCCTTCGGCGAGGGTCCGAAGACCCCAAGCTCGGCCGGCTGAGGAGCCACCCCGCCGTGCCCCC